TCATCGCACGCAGCTCTTCCAGTTTAACTGAATCTTAAGGAAGCCTTAACTCGCTGCCAAAAAATTCGCACTAGGCCCAAAAATAAAATCACGCATACCGAATTGGTATTGAACTTGCATGAGATACAATAAGCCGAGGGCAAGTACGGCATCTCCGAGCAGCAACGCAGCCCATTCAGGCCGACAGACAGCGCGCGGATTGTCCCTGGCATCAGGCGCGGCCACAACAACTTCGCCTGACTTCACCAAGAGTCGACGGTCCAATTACCAAGACGGCCGGAAGAATGTTCGAAAAGGTGGAACCCATCGCCAGGAAGGAGCATCAATAGCACCGACGAGCACTGGCTCGAGAAGTCGGAACGTACAGATCGTCAAGCGATCCCATGACCATTGAGGCTGGTCCAGACGCGGGCCCCAGGCTCCCTGTAGACTGAGCAGCCGCCTACGAGAGCTAGACGGCGACTTGCACGTGTCAAGCCACCCTAGCCGGGAGTCTTTAAACCGAATCTGAATTTCCTTTGAAATTTCAAGGCCAAGATGCGGCAAGACCAGAGCAAGCAGCAACGAGCTCACGCCGCATCGGCTCGTCGTCTCGTTGAGCAGGTCAGCCCGCACCGCTGACAGGCACGTGCTCGGAAGAAGAGGAAGCGGAGCTCCCACCCCTCGGAGGCAGCAACAAGATAGGACAAGCAGTGCATTAGCATTGCTCTCGGGGCGCTAATCCAGCCTGCAGCCGTTATCCCGCACTTGGACTGCCTCATCCGCCCGTCCTGCCTCCCTAAGCCACTCGCGACTTAACCTCGCTGGAGCATGTATGAAATATGCATCGACCAGCTACTATTTACGCTGCTAATTAGCCCGGAAAGCAATGCGATAAAGAAAGCGCGGCCTTCCGGCTAAAATTATCCAATGCTCCATTTTCCTTTGGGGCCAAAATCGATAACAGGACGATCCCCTAGCGGAGAAGTAAGCAAAGACCAAGAGAAAGAGAAGCCTATCGTTGGATCTTGGGGAGCGGTCAGTCCTTCAGGATACTTCGTAACGTAGTCCGACTGTAGTTCTTTGTTCATGTAGAACACTCACTCTGCACTCCTTTTCTCAAAGGACGCAAAATATCAAGAGAAAATCGAGTGAAAGAAAGAAACGGAGCGGGGGCGGGGGAGGGGGAGGGGGGCATTCGGAACGCGAATATTGAATGAAGTCTGTACGTAGGGGGTGGAAATAGTAGAGAGGATATACGCGCGCATGCATGCACACAGACACGGATACGGACCGTAGCCACATGATACGTGCTTTGACCATAGAAAAGCATAATGGCTTCTCGAAAGACCCTCTTGTCGTATCTTACCGCGAAATAAACTCCCCCATGCTGCCCTCCCTCTTCCACGCACTCCTCGCGTCTCTCTCTCTCTCTCTCTCTCTCGCGCAGAACAAGGTGTGTAAAAAATGGCGGCGAAGGGTGTTCCTGCTCTTCCGTCAAGCCATTACATCGCATCGTTATCCTGCCGCCTTATCCTCGTCCTCGAGCTAAACGATACGAGGAATACGGAACGATACGGAATGCGAAGCGACGACGTAACGACGCCCCGACGGGCGGGAGGTGGGTCGAGAAATCAATGTGGGTCGATATTCCAGCCACTCGAGGGACGTCCCGTTCGCGGAAAGTCCTTAAAATGCGAATGCGCAGGAAAAGGATGTTACGTAACGCGTATGAACACGTGCAAAATCAGTGCAAGAGACGGCGCGCAGAATTTCTCGCCATTTTCAAATCTTTCGAATTTCGAGAAAGAAGTTTTAGTGCAGAAGTCTCTCTCTCTCTCTGCCAATTAAACTGCATCTTGCTCTGGGAAAGACTTTTTCGTTCGCTCCCTCCCTCCCTCTCTCTCTCTCTCCCTCTCTCTCTCTCGTCCGATTGCACAAGTCATTAGAATATTCAAAGAAATCGATCGCAGTGCGAGAATGAACTGAAGCAGTAGGTCAGAGGTTATAGGTCACACAGCTGTGCGAGGTGAGAAGTAGAAGATGGCCGAGATAGAATGGCTGTTATCGTTGCTCTGAGATCGCTACGTGTCCGCATGTAGCACACGGATGCAGGTACGAGTGTATGGAGCTCATTAAGCTCCCAGGTAATTCTGGCATTGCCAGCATTCTGCAGGCTAGCCAACCTGAGAGAATACAGTTTCTCAACTATCTAGGTAAAACTCGTGTGTAGCCAACTTAAATTTGGTTGCATGTCGTCGAGACGTCGAGTTGGTTGGCTGGTTGGCTGGTTGGGCTGCTGGCATGCGTCTACCGTGTTAGCGTGTAAGAATTGGTGAACCAGCAACGGTTCACAGGTTCACCTACAAGCAATAATAAAGCACAGCCAATCCTGGCGCGACTCGACAATCGACTCGACTCCTTCGACGCTTCGTTCACTTTGGCGAGGAACTCGCGTAGCGAGAGAGAGAGGGAGAGAGAGAGGGAGAGAGAGAGAGAGGTCAGCAGCACCATTGGACTGTAGAGCAATGAACATGCGAATGAACGAGTGAACGTAGCTACGTACAAGCCGTACCGCGAGCACGCAGGAAAGAAGGCGATTACATCTGCACGAGGACCTTTCCCGATAAGGGAAACGACGCCTGGCCAGAGGTGGTTTCGTGTCGAACGCGCGCGCCTTCCCTCTCCCTGCCGCCCCTTCTCGCCCAACTGCACCCTTCGACCCTCCGCGACTCTTCCGTGCCCTCTCGCGAGTCTCGCCCTTTCGCCTTCACCGTTAAAACTCTCGAGGACGCAGATTGGCGCTTTACGGGCAAATAAAAAATATTATAATGGCTTGCCACAGTTCTCGTTGCAATTTCTCAAGCTTCTACTGGCTATAGGAGCCGTTCGGTTGGCCAGCCTGAATAACCTGGACCACCCTTGCCAAGTTGGGGGATTAATACCTTACTGCGAGCACCGACCGATTGATCCATCCCTTACGAGGTGTAGGAAGTGAAAATGTTGAAATCTCCAGGGAATTACAGAGGTCAGGAGGTCAGCGGCTGCTCAAACTTCAGGGAATTTATGCGAGTCGCCCACTCAGCTACGTGCCACTCGAGAAAATGAATAGTTCCTGGGGCGAATCACGCGCCGTGGAAAAGAGCCGAAGGTCTACCTGCTGGAAGAAAGGAAGGAGGAACCGGGCGAGTGGTACCAGGAGGGGGGGGGGGTCAATGTAAAAGGACCTCTTCGAGCGCGTAACGAACAAACTGGGTATTGCCTGAACAATTATTTGGCCGACGAGCCAACACGCGGTGGCAAAGGTAAAGTACGCAAGGGTGCAGTGGTACTCGGGGTGCTGGCGGTGCTGGTGGTACCGGAAGTACTGCTGGTGAATGCCAGTGAATAGGAATAGTGGTGAATATCGGCGCTTGTGGATATAGGGGATGATGGAGAAACACGTCGGAGGGAGTTGATCCCGCATGTGACGTATAGAGCTAATTGCGGTGGCCGCATGCGGCAGCATACGTGGAGCATGTGCGTGTTTCTTGCACTCTGTAGTTTTAGTTGTTTGTATTTACACGGTGAGGACAGGAAACGCGGGACGTCGATACGCATTAATACGTAATCGCGATAAAATATAGTCGCGAACCCAGGGGCGACGCGTGCGTCGGTTCTTGCCTTCGATCGAGACAATTTTTATGGACGAGAAATGACCTCGTGAGACTTTTAACGTTCACGTACAATTTTATTCCGCACTGCCCATTCCGAATGGAAAATGATTCTCTGCAATTTTATTTGAAAAAAAAAGTTCCCACCGGCTCCATTATCACTGGAAAATTTAAGGTAAATTAACTATTCGCGTCACAGCGGCGACAAGCACACGCCGCATAACACGATGACACTCGTGTATATGTGAATAAAAATATAAATAAATTCTCGTCCTCGACGCTCTTTGGTTATGAAAATGAACGTAAATAAATTCGATCAGATTGAAATAACGATACTGGTGATCTTCTCTGTCAGATTCATTTGCAACGTCTCTTTTTATCATTCTCATTTCTAGCAAATATGAAATACAATAATTGTTTAATTATCCGTCACAATACTTGGCTATTCATTGAATAGATCCTGCAGTGTGGCGAAACAGTCTTTACTTATTGGGAAGAAATAATTGGAGAAACGTCGGGAAGGAAAAAGTAGCAAGCAAACACTTCTAGTCGGATGAAAAAGTTACTGCTGTCCCCAGAAGAAAAACTTATTGTTAGGGCGACACTCCTGCCGACTGGTTTCGTCGAGTGAGTGTACCACATATAGTATACGGCAGTTAGGTAGTTTCGTTGCGACATGCTAAAAGAGAAAACCGAAGCTTCAAGGACGATCAGGGTGAATCTAAAACGAGCGAACGAGGAAATAACTTGGCTACAGTGAAAACGGCATTACGAGGTATCAGCTGACATGAGTTTCTAGGGTAGAGTATCAATACGAAAAAACAAAAATAAAGAATTCATTTGAAACTGCCTCTAAAGGACTTTGCTTTAGACGTTTTACAGAAAACGACGCATTCTATACGCGAAGAAAACGATCCGACTCCTTCAGTCTATATTGCTTAACAGCTCCTTTAACGATAAAAGCAAATCGTTGACCGATTAAGGCCAGCTTACAAGTAAACAATGAACAGACTAGGGCCCACGTGTTCGCATGGCCGCCGCAGGACACACAAATACGCCGAAATACACGCAGTTTTTAAGCTTAGTAAAGGATGTTCCGACGGGATTCAGTATTTATAAAGAGAAACAAAGAACGCCCTGCATCATCACGATGTTTGTGAGTCTCTACATATATGTAGGTCGCATGAGAATAGCTGACGTTGGTTAAAAATAGTCCGAGCAGATTTGGCGTTAGTCGACACTTGTTCACGGTCAACAAGGGTTTTACGGAGGAGCATAAGGTTTTAGTACTGCCTACGTTCCACCGTTATAACCCAGATAGAAAAGAAATGCGAGATTAACGAATGAAACGAAGAAAATATAACTCACCGCTTCTTCCAGTTGGAGTCGGTGCGGACGGCGCCTTGCTGGTTGGTTCGGGAAGCGGATAAATTGGGTCGCAGCATTCTCTCTCAGGAAATTCACTAGCCTCGACGTAGGTCGATGAGAGAAGGGCGGCTATCAGAAGAGCCGAACGTGCCAACAGAAGCCCAACACGTGACATGGCGCTGGGTCTTTAAGGATCTATCATGATACGTTCTCTTGATTAATCTTTAACAATTGTTCTCTTGATGACCTTCTCTCTCATGGACGTCAGTATGATAAGCGTCCTTGTAGTGGTCGGCGTCTTATTCAATGACGAGAAAGTTATCGCGACGTTGCTAGCATGCAAACTGATGACAGTGGCTCCTCTCATTTTCGTTAGAACAAGCGTGGCTTTTTCTTGCACCTCGTTGGGACATCACGTCCTCTGCTGCAGGAAACAGCCACTATTTTTCTTCATTGTTTTCTCTCTCTCTCTCTCTCTCTCTCTCTCTCTCTCTCTTTAGATGCACGTTTTGTTAACCACGAAAGAGTACATGAATCTTGAAAACAGAACGCGCACGTTGGGGAAGGACACGCGCACTGGACAAACTGAAGTAGCGAACAAAAGAAGGATGATTGGTTGATCGAGGAGAAATAAGAGTAGAAGCTGCTACACACCTTATACCTACTGCACACACTCACAATCACAAGAAAAACGACGCATCACACAGCTTGTCACGGAGGCGCGAAATCTATTATGAGCCAGAAAGGGCGGGATATTCAAGAGTATAAAAACGCGCCAAAACTCAAGGTTTGTATAGTAATATGTTAATATTAATTTCGCCTGTGTAGATTGTACTAGGTCAAATTATAACAGATGTAATAAAGTGTAGAGTATTGCGATTAGCTCAATGCGGTATACTGAGACGCGCACGTACTACGTGGGAATTCTGGAGGCAACCTTAAGGGGCGGTATAACACAATGCGGCAAACCGAAATTTCGCGATAGCACCGAGACGTGCGCACGTGTCGGCGTTCCGTCGCCCAATGAAGCCAGGCCAAGCCAGACCACCCCGTACCGTGAGAGACCGACAGAACGCGCCTGCCGCCGCCGCCGCCGCCGTTGCCGTCGTTGCCGCTACTGTCACCCCCTCGACGCCAGCCGCAAACCCTCCACGAACTCCCCAACTTGGCTCAACTACCTCACACTGCTCCTGGCTGCCAAACTGCCCTAGGTAGCCCAGCTTTCCCAGCACCGCGCCTTGTTCCTCTGCATATACATATGTGTATACAGAGGGAGAGAAAATTACTGGTTGATTAAAGATTCTAACCTCGTGAAAAAAAAAGCAGAAGGAACTCCTCAATCGAATCTGGATCCTATTTGCCAGTTTGCGTCCTTTGCTTCCACGTTCATGGAGAAAAACTCGACCAGCCTGATTTTGAATTTCCCTCTTAAATCTCATAGGGTAACCTTGCGAGGTTATACCGAGGGTAAGTTAGCACCGCGTGAACGTGCAATTCCAGAGAATTACGGGCCTGTTCCCACCCACGTCATATGCATAATCTATAAAATCTTGGTGAGATATCTCTCTCTCTCTCTCTCTCTCTCTCTCTCTTTTTCTCTAGCCAGAAGGATGCATTCTCTTGTTCACGGTATACCTCTTTCTTAGGTCGGCTATTACTCCAGGATAATGTCCTCATCTTCCCCTTGTTCGCCTGACGATGTCACTCTACCGTGATTGAGTGTGCGACCTATTTACGTGACGAAAAAATTGGTTGTATAATAAAGATGGATAAATATAAGAGTTTAAGGCTTTAGGTTATAAACCGCAGAGAGAGAGAGAGAGAGAGAGAGAGAGAGAGAGAGAGAGAGAGAGAGAGAGACAGAGAGACAGAGAGACAGAGAGACAGAGACAGAGAGACAGAGA